ATTTTACTAAATGAATGGCAGAATTTACTGACTTACCTTGTGCCTGGCACAGTGGTGGGCAAAGGGGTACAGAGCAAAATAAGAGCAGACATGGACTATACTCAAGTGCTGGGAGTTTGGCTAAGGAGATGTGTTCTGGATGGTCATTCAGCCAGCCACTGATAACTCCAGCCTCTCATCTGCCTCACTGCCTTCCCCAGCACCAATCAACTCAGGCCTGGCTGGAGATGGCTTCAGGGTAAATGCAGGGTGGAGACATAACACAGAGAGGAAATAGCACTGGATGTCAGTCAAGACTTCTAGATTCTATTCTGTCCTGCTCTGTCCCAATGAACTGTATGACCTTCGGCTATCACCCTCCCTCTCTGGACTTGCAACGTTCCATTCTTAAAACAAGAGGATGCACCAATCAGCTGCGCGCACCTCGTTTACCATTAAGAGCCCTTTGGAAAAATTATTTTGCCTACCGTGTCCAAAGAATTGAAAGATTTGTGAATCAAACCGATTCCTTTTTTTTGAGAGATTTTTTTTCCACCTATTTAGAAATGTTGAAATCTGCAGAGCCTTTGGAGCCCTCAAGGCTGGGGACCCAGGCGAGACACTGGACAAAGTCATCTCAAAGTCCCTGTGAGTCTGACGTAAACCAAGGTGTCTTTCTTTTTGCCACACCCCACCACTCCTGTCCTCTGGTTTTGTAGTGCTAACCCCTGTAACACTGAGCACTTACTAACCAAGGAAGGGAAATTGGGCACTAGACAGGATGGAGAAACTGCCTAATGCTGAAGAGACCCGACAGGTCTGCATCCCAACTTCACACCATTATCAGCTACCCCACATCCACATGTGCTGTATTTAACTTGTGCTTGCCTCTCGTCTCTACTCAGTGTCCACCTCCCCTTGCACAGACTTCAGGAAGGGTGTCAGCTTTCCCACAGGCTGTTGGAAAAACATCCTGATTATAAGAGCCCTGCTCTGCACTGCCCTTCCCTTCTATCCCCAGACTGTATTTAGAATTCCCATGTGTTAAAATTGCCAGGCCCTTACCATTCTCACAACCACCTCTTTCCAAACCACTGGTACCACCAGCCTCAGTTTTAATTGCCCTGGGCCACAAAACAGCTTGAGCCTCATGGGCACGGATACTCCCAGTGCTGCTGCCTCCTTCCAACCAGGACCTGAATCTCTTTGCCACTGCCTAGCTTTCAAGGTTGCCCCCAAACTTGCTTCAGTCTTTCCTACCCCTCCTCGGCTCCAGGGTTCTCACTTGGTATGGGGGCCCTGCCTAGACATCTAGAGAAGGGCCTGGGGTGGGGTTTCAGTTTTCTGAGGACAGGCCACTCACGTGCTCCACTTACCTGCCCAGAGATGCAGACACCACAGGGACCACACGGCCATCCTTCTCTGGAGAGGCAGGCAAACTCCCTGGACAGTCCAAATCTAGAACTTCCTGGGTCAAATGGATGCACGGAAGGAGTGTGGTCCTTCTGGAAAGTCCCATGTTCAGAATGAGGAATCTTGACTCAGAACAAGATGTCCCGAAAGTGAAAATATCCTGAAGTGGAAGTTGGCGGCAGGCCTTTCTGGGCTCTTTCAGGAGCTATTTCTTGTAAGTCAGCCTCTTTCATGTGCCTTTGGTTGGCCATGCAATCGCAAGCAACAAGGGCCTACACACAAGCCCACATCCTCCCCTCTGACTCCGGCCAGGCCTTGCTGCATCCCACCCTGCCCACAGCTGTCTGCCTTTCCGGTTACAGCCACAGAGAGCCCTCTACACTGCAATATCCATTGTCATTGCTCCTCTGCTTTAGTTAGACATTTCACCCCTCACAAAGAGGTAACCCCCTACCCCCATCTATTGCCCCTCTGACATCATATATATCTATTACAATTCCATTGACTCTCTTCTCTGTGCTGTACTCCATATCTCATGACTATATACATATATATATATACATATATGTATATATATTAAATTATAGTTCACATACAATATTATCCAGCTTCAGCTTCAGGTGTACAGTGCAGTGGTCAAGCATCTACACCATCCATGAAGTGGTTTCCCTAATAAGACACCCTACAATATCTTTACAACATTATGATTATATTCCCCAAACTGTCTTTCATATCCCTGTGGCAATATTGTAGTTACCAATTTATGCCGTCTAATCCCTTTCCCTTCTCCCTCATCCCCACCCCGCTTCCTTCTAGCAACCATCAGTTTTTTTTCTATATCTATGAGTCTATTTCTGTTTCGTTTGCTCATTTATTCAGTTTTTTAGATTCCACATACAAGTGAGATCATATGATATTTGTCTTTCTCCGATTGACTTATTTCACTTAACATAATGTTCTCTACGTCCATCCATATCATTGCAAATGGTAAGATTTCACTGTCTTTTATAATCGAGTAATACTCCATTGAATAAATGTACCACAGTTTCTTAATCCAGTCATCTACTGATGGGCATTTCGGTTGTTTCCAAGTTTTAGCTATTGTAAATAGTACTGCAATAAACATAGGGGTGCATATATTTTTTTGAATTAGTGTCTTGGGTTTCTCTAGATAGATACCTAATAGTGAAATTGCTGGGTCATAAGGTAGTTCCATTTCTAGTTTTTTGAGATAACTCCGAACTGATTTCCACAATGGCTGCACCAATCTGCAGTTCCACCAACAGTGCACCAGGGTTCCCTTTTCTCCACAACCTTGCCAGCGGTTGTTGTTTGTTGATTTATTGATGATAGCCATTCTGACCGAAGTGAGGTGGTATCTCATTNGTGATGGAGGCTAGAGAAGCAGACTTGCCGACCACTCCAGGTCCTGTCAACAGCAGCTTCTTCCAGCAATGCAGAAGGAACACCTGTACAGGGTAAAAAATTTCCCAGTATTGGAAGAAAAAGCCTGGGTTTTTCCCATCCTGTGAACCCTATTTATAATTATAGTCATCATAGTAGATATACAGATGAAAGACACAGACCTGCTTAGTGGATGCTTGTTTAAATCAAAATGTAGGTGGCCCTATTTCCTAGCCAAACCTAAAAACAAACAAAACAACAACAAAAAACCCTGTTGGGAATTGAAAGAAATCCCAATATGTGAAACAAGCCTGGTTCATGGAAAGAGTCGTGCTCCATTTTCATTGTTTGCATCTAAATTGTACAGCCACATATAAGACAAAGACCAAGTATCTAATGATATCTTACAATGAAGTTGGTCCAATGAATGGAGCAGACCACAGTTGAGGCTGGTGTGTAAGTCCTTGACTACCCAAGAGGGCCACCAGAGGGCAGCCATGAGGCTCCCAGCTGTCTGTCTTTCTCCCTTAAGGGGCAGCTCTGGGCTGCCTCTCCACCCTCAATCCAGCAATGGAGTTTTCTCCTCTCTTCTTACCCTGTAGATGATGTGACCTCATACAGCCCAGGTCCCTAGAGGAGAAACAGCTAACTCATCCCTGCTGAATAAGAGTTTGCATTTAGCTCTGACTTGGAGAGAAAAATAACGTTTCACAGTGTAGTCTTGAGACTGTATGGAGGCTGCTCGTGGGCAGTCTNGGGCCACTCGGCCGGCCCATACTTCTTTCTTTTTTAAATTAAATTTATTGAGGTAACATCGGTTAATTATATAGGTTTCAAGTGTACAGTTCTATAATACATCATCTATATATTGCATTGTGTTCAGAACCTAAAGTCAAATCTCCTTCCATCACCATATATTTGACCCTCTTTATCCTCTTCTACCTCACCCCCTGTTTAAAATTCTTCCATAACTTTCTACTGCCCTCAGGAAAAAGACTAAACTCTTGGCTTCGCATACAAGGCCTCCTCATTCCTACTCCAGCCTTCTTCTCCAGGCTGGTCTCCCATGACCATTGTGCAGCTATACCGAGCTAGAACTGCCTCTTCTCACAACTACCAATTTTGCACTGTTGGTGTTGCATTTGTTTCTCCACCAGGCATGCTGGTCCATTTACTCTTCTGGACTTGGCATGGTCATGTAGCCAACCAGCCTCCCATTCAAGCCTTCCCTACCACAAGCAGAGTGAGGTACCTCCTCTTCTTAGTACATTGTTTTGTAACAATTTTCCTTTTCAAAGACTGTGGCAGGCAAGGTCTTCTATTCATTTCTGTGCTCCCTTTGGTGCTCGGCACACCATGGACAACATTTGTCAAATGAGCGCATAAATTCTAGACGTAGTTACATATTTTGCTTCCTGGAAACCCTACAACTCTTCCCCGAGAGGATCTTATTATTGTCCCCTTTAGAGATGGAGAATTTGAAAACCAGAGGGAGGACAGCATCTTGAAAGGTCATGGTGTGGCAGAACTGGCACTGTGAGCTTCAACCTTCAGGGTATGGTTCATTTTGCCACAGTCGCCCCCCTGCTCACTTCATTTCTCTTCTCATTTTGAGTTACTTGGTTTCTTGGGTCAGAGAAGGCTTTGTGAGAAGATGAGGAAAATCCCCATGTGTCCCTAGTGTGGCTTGCAGTGCCTAGTCTGGCACAGTTTCTGACCTGGACTCAGCTCTGCTTTGGGCCCATCTGGGAACAAGGCAGATATGGTGACTGGTGAGCAGGAGGATTCTAGATGGGGTTCCTTCCTTCCAGGGACCCGTAATCACATGTGGAAACAAGATCTGCCATGAAAGTGAAGACCCACAGCAGAAAGGCACAGCTTTGTGCTGATGACACCACAGGCTGTCCATGTTGCTAGAGGGCATGGGGAAGAGGTCTCTGTGGATGTGGCCAGGAGATGCTTCTTTAAAAGATCGCATTTAAGCTGCACTTTGAAGATAGACATGATTTGGATAGGCTGAGTAAATGGTTGGGGGTGGGCTCTGAGCATGAGAGGAGACCTCAGCCTGTAAGGCTTGGCAGTGGGAAGTCTTGAGTGGGTTTTAGGAAGAGTGAAGGACCTCAGGAGGGATCCTTCAGGACTGAAGTAAGAATGAAGAGGAAAATTGGGGGTCAGATTCTGGAGGCCTTGAATACTGGGTTAAGTATTAGGCTTTATTCTGGAGACCAGGGGCTCTCAACCTTGTAGAATACTTGGATTGCCGGGGATTCTGGTTCAATGAGGCTGTGAGGAGGCCCAGGAACTACTAGTTTAACCAGCTCTCCACCACAGGTGATTCTGCAGCTGGTGGGGTCAAGGGAAGGCTCTGAGTAGCACTGCTTGGAGGTAGGCAGCTGCTGCCCATTTTAAGCTGGGGCTGACTGGCTGGTGGGAGGCCTACATGAAGGGCAGGTTTGGGGACAAAAAAGAGGCAGGGAAGCCTGGGGAGCAGCTGTTGTGATGGTCCTGACTGAAGTAGGAAGGAACTCTCTAGAGAGAAAGGGGGGCAGAGCAGGAGTCCTGACAAAAGCTGCCTGGCGCTGGGGCAAAGAGGCCAAGGGAGGGCAATCATTATGGCTTCATTGCCAATTCCGTCACTCATATGTCATATATTTATTGAGCATCTATTTATGAGCCAGGTGCTGGGGACACAGAGATGAAAGGCATAGCCCTTCCCTTCAAGGAGTCTGCAGTTTTGATGAGAAGACGGGATATGTAACCCAGTAATTACAATCAGTGTGGCAAGAGTGGCACATGTAAGGGTTCAGCATGGGGTCTAGTGCATAGTCAGCACTCAGAAACTATTAACCATTGCTACTAAATGGCCAGAGAGAGAGAAGAGGGGAGAGCCAGGCAGATGCAAGTAAGGCATGTTGCAGTGTGAGCAGCCCCTGCTCCCGTTCTTTCCCCCCAGGCTGGGGGCTCTGTGAGACAGAGAGTAGGGCCCCTTTATTTCTGCCCACTTATACTGCTGAGGTGGTGCCCTCCAAGTGTGCGTCAAAGTGGACTGAATGAATCTGAATTGTTAGCTCTGGGACTGAGAGGCCATGAGAATGCTGGAAGTTCCTATGCTGCATTTCTTGTGGGGAGACAGTGGGCAGTCACACTCTCTTAGCAGAATGGGTGTCCAGAGTGGTCCACTCAAGCAAGAAACGGGTTGCAATCTTCCTTGTCCTTTTCCTTGAGGGGATTTTCAGGGAAGCTGAGGAAGGGGGAGGAAGTAGTCAGAGAAAACAGGAAAATATCCCACCTCCCCAAAGGAAAAAACTTCAGAGTGTGCGACAACTGGAGAAAATGGACTAAGGAAGGTGCAGGAAGGGTTAAGTCTGAGGAGGCAGGTTTCCCCCCAAGGCTAATCACTAGTTCGGGCTGCAGCAATTACTGGAGGGGTGGGGGTGTTTGCACTGGAGTAAATTAGCTGGTGACTTCAAAGGGGCCCCTCCTGCATTCTTTAATTAAGAAAGCAGCTGGCAGCTCCGCTGCTCCCCCGCCTCCCATCTGCCAGGTGGAAGGGCCTGCACAGCCTTCAGCCCATCTTCACT